CTCGGGCAGCGTCCGCTCCCGTCATCACGCTGCCCGACCCGACCGAGCCCAAGCCCTACGAGAAGGTCATCACCGCCGACGCCAAGACGCAGGACGGCCTGCTGCGGGTGCACACGCTGAAGAACAAGCTGTACTTCGAGATCCCGACCGCGGTGCTCGAACAGCCGCTGCTGATGGTGGCCAACGCGACGGCCGTGCCCGCCGGCCTGGAGCATGTGGGGCGCGCGCTGAACCAGGACGTGCTGCGTTTCGTGCTGCACCAGAACCGCGTGCTGTTGCAGCTCGGTCTCGCACAGCGCCGTCACCGCGCCGCGCAACGTGCTGGCCGAGGCCGTGCGCCAGTCGCCAGCGCGACGCCATCCTGGCCGTGTTCCCGGTCGAGACATTCGCCAAGGGCGGCGCACCGGTGATCGAGGTGACGCGGCTCTTCAACACCGAGGTCGGTGACTTCAGCGCCCGATCGCTCGTGCGTGGCAACCTGGACTCCAGCCGCAGCTACGTCGAGAAGACGAAAGCCTTCCCCGGCAGCGTGCGCGTGGATGCGGTGCAGACCTACAACGTCTCGTCCATGCCGGTGCCCAGCCTGCCCGGCATGCCGGTCGTGCCGCAGATGCAGCCGGCGCGCAGCGCGTCCGTCAACGTGGCGTTCAGCATCGTGGAGCTGCCCAAGGAACCGATGAAGCCGCGGCTGATGGACGACCGGGTGGGTTTCTTCAGTGTGGCGCGCACCGACTTCGGCGACGGCCTGCAGGAAGCTCGCCGCGAGCGCGTCATCACGCGCTGGCGGCTCGGAGAAGCAAGGACCCCGCCGCGGCGCTCAGCGAGCCGGTCAAGCCCATCGTCTGGTACATCGACAAGGCCACGCCCACGGCCCTCGTGCCCTACGTCAAGAAGGGCGTCGAGGCGTGGAATGCGGCGTTCGAGGAGGCGGGCTTCAAGAACGCCGTGCAGGCACGCGCCCTACCCCACTGGCGCGAGGAAGACCCCGAGTTCGACCCCGAGGACGTGCGCTACAGCGTCATCCGCTGGGTGCCGTCCCCCATCGCCAATGCCTACGGCCCGCACCTGGCCGATCCCGCGCAGCGGCGAGATCCTGAACGCCAACATTGTGATGTTCCACAACATCGTGCAACTGCAGCGCGACTGGTACGTGACCCAGGTCGGGCCACTGGACCCGCGCGCCCGCAAGCTGCCGCTGCCGGACGACCTGCTGGGCGAGCTGGTGGCCAGCGTCGTCACGCACGAGGTCGGGCATTCCCTCGGCCTGCCGCACAACATGAAGGCCAGCTCGCTGTACCCGCTGGAGAAGCTGCGCGATGCCGACTGGCTGCGCACGATGGGCCACACGCCGTCGGTCATGGACTACAGCCGCTTCAACTATGTCGTGCAGCCTGAGGACCGCATCGACCCGGCCTGGCTCATCCCGCGCATCGGCCCGTATGACCGCTTCGCCGTGCGCTGGGGCTACGCGCCCATCCCGAGTGCCGAAACGCCGGCCGGTGAGCGTCAGCGGCTCAACCTCTGGGCCCGCGAACAGGCGACCACGCCGTGGCTGCGCTTCAGTGCGCCCAAGGCCGAAGGCGGCGACTTCGGCGAGAACATGGAGGCCGTGGGCGATGCCGACGCGGTCGGCGCCACGGCGCTCGGCATGAAGAACCTGCAGCGCGTCGTGAAGATGCTGCCGACCGTCGTGCCCGAGGACGGCAAGGACGACCTGACGCTCGAGACGCTCTACCGCGCGACCTGGGTGCAATGGGTGCAGGAGCTCAACCATGTCGTGGCCATCGTCGGCAGCTACGACGTGCAGAACAAGCACAACGACCAGCCCGGCGCCATCGCGATGCCGGTGCCGCGCGAGCGCCAGGCGCGGGCGGTGAAGTTCCTGACCGAACAACTGCTGGCCACGCCGCAGTGGCTGCTCGACCCGGCCATCACGCAGCGCCTGCGCCCGTCGGAGATGCAGCTGTGGCCTGGCGTGTACCAGCGGGCGCTGCTGCGCCAGTTGCTCGCGCCGTCGCGCACGCAGCGGCTGGTGGCTCAGGAAGCGCAGCTCGGCCCGCGTGCCTACCGCCTCGACGACTATCTCGGTGACCTGCGCCGCGGCGTGTTCACCGAGCTCGGCGGTGCGGCACCGATCACCGCGCAGCGCCGCAACCTGCAGCGCGCCTATGTCGACACGCTGACCGCGCGGCTCGGGGGCGTCAACCTCTTCGGCATCGACGATGGGGAGGCCGTCATCCGCGCCGAGCTGCGCGACATGAAGGGCCAGCTCACCACGGCCGCCAGCCTGGGCGACCGCAGCCGCCGCGCCCACCTGCTCGGCCTGGCCGACACCATCGACAAGGCCCTGGACCCCAAGGTGGCGCCCTCGGCGAATCCGCTGGCGGCGCTGCTGCGCGCGTTCAGCCTGCAGGCGCTGGAGCCGGACAGCCCGCAGGCGCAGCAGTCCTGCTGGCCCGCTGCTGCGTCATGGCTTGAGTTGTCCGGCGAGGAGCGCCTGCACTGAGCGGAAGAGAAATTCCGTGGTGGCGCGCGATGCGGGCTGCGAGCATGACGGCCCGTTCCACACGTCCGGAGTTGTCCATGAGCCGAGCTGTCCTGCCGCTCCTCCTGCTGGTGTGTTCCGCGGCTCCGGCCCAGGCGGCCGAGCCTTGTGCAGAGGAGGCCAACACCGTGGCCGTGAATGCCTGCCTCACGCGCTGGGTCGCGGCGCAGGATGAAGCGCTTGCGCGGGCTGTGGCGCGGTTGCGCGCCGCGTGGCGCGAGCGGGATGCCGTGAGTGGCAGCCCGCCGGTCCTGCCGGCGTTCGATGCCGCCCAGGCGGCGTGGGAGGCCTACCGTCGTCGTGAGTGCGCGGCCCGTGCGCTGATCTACGGCAGTGGCACCGGGGCGGCGGCAGCCAGCGGACGCTGCGAGTTGGCGTTGTCGGTGCAGCGCGAGGCCGAACTCGCGTCTCGCTGGTAGCGCGTCGGATGCGCGCGGCCGTCAGGGCGCGTAAACACGCCCGGCCGACTCCAGCGCCCAGCGGTCGGTGCGCAGCGGCGGCAACGGCAGCCCGTCGCCGCCGACCACGTTCGCCTCGCTCGGGTTGTTGACCCAGGCATA